AAATGAAAATTAAACAATCGTGAAGCATTGCAAGACCTTAATAACAGTGAAGAGTTAAGAAAGAGCTGTCACATTTGGTGGAATTGTCGGGTTCCTGGGAGTACTTCACCTGATTAAAGACCAAAAAGAAAGAGATTAAAAAAACATAAGCATACAAAACACAGATGATACGCAAACGAGTGTGTTAAAGCACTTACCATGGCGGCCAAAATGGTGAACTGGCGAAGGTGAAGAGACTGGAGAGAGGGGAATTTTGGACATACTGCTTTATATATTAGGAGACAAATATGAAACCCTAAACGGCGGAAGAGTATGGGCCTTTTTAGGGCCACTTCTCGTTAGTATATAAACGGCCTCTTTGTATACTCTCCTCTAAAAGTCATTTAATTTTTATTTATTTTTCATTCAAAACTGAAGTAAAACTTCAAATAAACTTAGATAGATCTTTGTTAAAAAAAGGGAAAATTCCATATAAATACCCCAACTAAATTCTATTAAGCTTTTTAATACCTAAACTTTTTCACTATCCATTTTAATACCTCAACTAATTATTCTGCCCATTTTAATACACCAACTTTTATAAATGTATCTATTTTAATACTCAAACTTTTTTTATTTTAATTAACAATACTAATAAATTTCAAACGAAAATTTTAAAAATCTCCAAAATCTAAGAAAAAATATTTAGACTTTCTAAGTTTATTTGAAGATTTAAGAAATAAGGTAAACAAACTCTGTAGAAAATTTAATGTTTTAAAAAAAAAGTTTTTGAAGGAAAAAAAATAATTTACTTTTTATTTAAAAAAAAAACTAAATTCAATATATAAAACTTAAAAAAATTATTACAAAACTTAAGATTATAAAACATTTATTTAATTTCGTTACTCAAACATATAATAAAATTATTTTTTTCTGAAGTTTAGACATTTTTAAAATTTCATTGGAAACTTATTAGTATTGTTAATTAAAATAAACAAAGTTTGAGTATTAAAAGGGATACAGTTATAAAAGTTGATGTATTAAAGTGGGCAGAATAATTAGTTCAGGTTTTAAACTGGGTAGTGAAAAAGTTTGGGTATTAAAAAGTTTAATAGAATTTAGTTGAGGTATTTATATGGAATTTTCCCTTAAAAAAATACTTTGAGGATGATTGGTGAGTGCTGTGAGTGCTCTCTACAGTTCATTTTCTTTCTACCGCTTTAGTTTAACAATTATACTTAAAAAAGTTACAATCCTAAAACTAAAAATAAAAAATAAAATAGTTTTAGAAATCACTTTTCCAAAACTTTATATTTAGTGCTTTGAAAGTTATTATTATAAATCTACAGCGACAGCAATTAAATCTACAACTATTATTCTAAAGCCAAAAATAAAAATTACAACACTTACTAATCACTAGGTGGCTTCCTGCACCATGTGCAGAAATAAAAGTTTTAAAAATAAATTTATATTTAAAATAAAATTTAATTAATTTTTAAATTTATTATTTTATTACATTATTAATTTTACATTAATTATATGTAAAAATTAAGAGAAAATAAACAGTTTTATTTAAATATATGATAGTTCTCTCAAATAGAAATTTTTTAGGTTTTTTCACAAAAATAGATCTTAAAACTAAAATGACCAAAACAGTATTTTTTATTTTGAAAATTTCAATTTTTTTTAAAAAAAAATTTGTAATCCTATCCCCAAAATCCCACTCCTCAACTTTAAACAAAAAAGTTTACGATTAGTTAAACCAAAGGATATAAGTGTATATTTACTTATTTTTGATAAAACATTTAAGCCTATCTTGGTCATTTTTATTTTAAGGTCTATATTTGTGATTAAAACTTTTTTTTAGGTCTATCTTAAAAAAATTTATTAAATTTATATTTAATAATATATATGTATCTTTTACCTTTTGGTTAAATTATATTAAATCAGATTCTATACTATGAAGAGAAAATTTTGTTAGATATATAACTATCAAAATACAAAACTAAATAATATTTCTAAAATTTATAGATGTTATAAATAAAGGTAATGGTATTGGGATTAGAAAATTTTAATTTTAAAAAATACTGCATAAAATTTTGAAAAAGAAAATTTATTAATAAAAAATATATAATTAAACAAAATACACTTAAAAATATTTCAATATTTATTGTTATATTTATATTTCTACTATTATATTATGTATTATCTTAATGATAATTTATGAGTTCTTTTTCTTATCACTATTTTAATACAAATTTTTGTTTAATCAAACATAAAAAGTAATATAAAAATATTTTTTATTTATTTTAAATTATATTTAAGAATACACATGTATATATTTAAAATTATAATCTTAGATAAACTTTTTATCTATTTATTTTAATTAATAATATTAAATAAATTTGTAGAAAAATTTATAATTATCAAAGTTTAAAATTAGACAATATTTATTAAATTTTTAAATATATAAGAAATTAATAATTTTAGGATTAAATTTTAATAATTTGAAAAATGTATACATTTTTGAAATTTTTGTAATCAAATTGTATAGTTTTAAAATATATAATTAAATGATATTTCCGAAATTTTTAATGCCATATTGGTATATATTTATTTTAATGATAATTTATTAGTTATTACCATATTTTAAAAATATTTCCAAAAATATAAATCGACATTAAATGTAATATATGAGTTGTTATCATATTATATAAATTTTTCCAAAAATATTTAATAACATTAAATGCAATTATCCATGTCATATTTAATCATATGTCATGTCATCAATTCTAGTAGACATGTCATCATTTTTTTGTGAAACTGATTCTAGAGAAAACATGTGGCAAAATCACTTCACAAATAATGTATAGGGGATCCCTTTAGATAGATCTATCGTTTTGCTATAAACAAGGAAGCAACAAGCATTTGGGAGAGAGACAGTTATAGATGATGGTAAGTGAGATTTCCCTCTTCTCTCTTCTCTTCAATGCTTGATCTGATCACTAGAGTAAACAGTGTTTCTGGTGATTCTCTTATGATTAAGATATCCACATGACGATCTCACTGATGAAACTAGCAATGTTATGGTTTTTCTTTCTTGTGACCGAAGTTTTGACTGGTTCTTTTTGGAAAGTGATATTTATCAAAAAAAAATCTGAGATTTTATAATTTTTAATCAGTTTATACATCATCAACAACAAGTATCCATCATCATTCGGTACACAATCTATTGGAGCCTGGAATTTAGGTTGGAGTGGGACAATATTACGATAATTCTACTCCAATATTCTACATCTCCGTGGTGGTCAAGACCTACTGTGATGTCAATTTGACAAGGTATTATCAATTTTTGATTGCAACATGGTTTATTTATCGTTATATATGGTGCCTTGGTCGAAGCAACTGCAAGATGAGATCAAGAGGTGAAGATCAATTTTGATACAATATATTTGGTATCAAAATATAGATAAGTTTAAATTATTGTTGAAACCTTGAAAACTATCATGGGAAGAACGACAATACTGACTAAAAGATAAAGTTTCTTTGTTGTATGACGATATTTATACAATTGTTGAAAGTTGGTTGTCCTAATTTTTATTTTTACGGTTGAATCAATATATTGGATTCTAAACCGTAAAATATTTATAATTCTAAACTGGGATGAAATCAACATAATACAACAAATGAAACTCGGACCTATAATGCGACTAAGATTTAAAATTTGCAAGAAAATTAATAGAGTTGAGATTCTATTGATAACAATGATTTTAATGAGAATAACATCTTTACAACTTTTATTTTATCATTTGTTGTTCTTTCGTCTTATTCATTATGTTTACTTTTTATTAACCCATGTATGTATGTCTGTATGTATTTTTTACTTGTGATAATATAATTAATAAATTTATGTGGATAAAAAAAAGATTCTATCGTTTTTCTGGTTGGTTTTTGGCTTTGTTTGTTTTATTGTGTAAGGCATTTATTTTTATGTAGTCTAAGTGTGTTGGTGTACAGTACACCATTTTTTTTTGTTGGTAAAAAAAGGTGGTTTTACCTCTTTATCAGGAACTCAAGTAAATAGTCATTTCCAAGGTGCGTTGAACCCAAATGGTGGAAGTGACAGCCGCAACCCCTTTACCACTAGACCAACTCAACATTGGTGTACAATACACCATTGTTTTGTAACAAAGGTTGATATTTTTATATGGATGTGAACGAAACTCATATAAAGTGAAAATAATTGGGACAATTGATTACATGAGTTAATGATGTAGGATAGAACCTTGGGATAATCCATCTCACATGAATGAGATTGCTTCATGACCTTGGATGTATAGACAACTTGTTTACAATTTCAACCGAGTAACAACAGAAGGTTAAACCACAATTTAAACATATTCCTGGTTAGTCTGGACTAGGTTTTGGGCATGTGATTAATATGGTAGACCAAAACAAACGACCGGTCCACCTTATGTCATTGCTTCATGACATTGCATGTGTAGACGACTTGTTTACGGTTCCAAAGCAAGAACATAAGGTTAAACCACAATTTGAATACACTCGTGGACAGTATAGATTGGGATTTGAGCTCATGTGGTTAACATAGTGGTCCAAAATAAATGATCGGTTCACTTCTTACCAGTAGTTAGAAAAAATTTCAAATTTTGGTTAGGTAATATGGTAAACTTTCGGATTAGTCCACTCTCGGATTAGTTTACTTTGTAGCACTAAGTGCATTTTTCATGGGGCCGACCGGATCAGGGCATATCAAAAAAAAAGTTCATAAGTCTGTAGTGATATGTCATATATGCCACATTTCAAGTACATACACACTAGTTAGTCAGGTTGGATTTTGGTTTAACTGATTGGTGTTTTATACGATCTGAATACATGAAAATGTAGTAGTGGGTTATAAAGGATAGCATCAAAAGGCCCACTAAGAAATTCCGTGAAAGCCCAACCAAACTAAGAATAGAAACATCTAGCCACGACGACTTGGAAGGCGGCTGTATACAATCGAAGGTGTTTCTTTAGTTTCGTTTCGAGGTGGTTCCCCTTGTAATAATAATTCACAGCAGAAGCAACCCTAACTTTACTTCTCTTTCTTCCCCCTCCCACCGCAATCTCACGATGGAGTTCTCTACCGCCGACCTTGAAAGGCTTCTGATGTTTGAGCACGCTCGCAAAGCGTGTGAGGCTCAGTACGCTAAGGATTCTCACGATTCCGAGGTTTCTACCACTTGTCTCCTCCTCCTTATTTATGTTTCTCCATACATCGATTACTTGATTGTCTTTTTTTCTTTCTTCTTAAAATCTTCTCTGTGTTGTGCTGTGTGTTCTGTATTGAATACGATTCTGCAGTAGATTTGGCTACTTGATTTATTGGTTATTTTTGTTTATGCAGAATTTGCTGCAGTGGGGTGGAGCATTGCTTGAACTTGCTCAGTTCCAGACTGTTCCTGATGCAAAGTTGATGTTAGATGGTATGAGCCTCTTCTTCTTACAGATTATTGTTCTCTCTTTGCTTAAAACAATATTATATAATATGTAATGATCTTTCTGGTAGATGCTATATCCAAGTTGGAAGAGGTGTTGACAATAAATCCAGGGAAGCATCAGGCTTTTTGGTGTCTTGGCAACGCCTACACTGCCCACGCCTTTCTGACACCAGACACTGATGAAGCCAAAGTTCTCTTTGATAAAGCCGCTGATTATTTCCAAAAAGCTGAAAATGAGGTGTTACATCTTCTTCACTTTTTGAATGTTTTTATGTGTGTAGTGAGAGACAAACTTCTTATCTCCCTTTTTTTTTCTTATCTCTCTTTTGTTTCTTTAGGATCCAGGTAATGAGATGTACCTCAAGTCCTTGGAAGTTACAGCAAGGGTACTGTTTCATCTTCAGATTCGATGTTTCGTGTCATTCATTATTAGAGATAATAATTTGTTCTGTCTATGTGAATTAGGCACCGGCGCTACATATGAACATACATGAGAATGGGATGATGATGCAGCAGTCACTAGGTGGAGGTGGAGGTGGTGGTGGTGGAGGAGGAGGTCCCGCTGCTTCATCAAATGCTAGTGTAACTTATCTCCTTGCTTCTTTGGTTTGCTTGTTTCAGTTCACATGATTCTCTAGTAGAAAGTAGTTGAGGAGGTAAGCAGAATCTCTCTCTCTCTCTCATATATTTTGGTGGGGTGGGTCCTTGGTTTTGCAGGGTCTTAAGAAGAATAAGAAGAAGAACAATGACTTCACATACGATGTATGTGGTTGGATAATTCTGGCCTTTGGGATTGTTGCTTGGGTTGGCATGGCGAAATCCCTTGGCCCTCCACCTCCTGCTAGATGAAAGAGCCCCTAGTAGCAACGGCCAATTCCATAAGGAAATAATGTCTCTGCTAGTTACTACATTCTCCAAAGCAGAGCGGTCCTAAGTAACGTTTGGGCCTCTGTTGTTTTATTGTCTACATCTCCCATCAAATTGTTTTGTTTTTGCTTAAATTAGGATGTCTTTTTCCTCTATATCAATATTCATATTTCTTTGTCTACGTGGTCTGTTATGTTTTGGTATTTGTGGCACGAAACTCGAGGTTTACACGATTTCCATATGAGAGTACCTTATGTTGCATATGATTATTAAGCTCGTCTGTTAAGGATAGACAAGTAAAAGTTCCAAAGAGGTTAAAGGGTCATCTTTCCCTTTACACTTGCATTTAATTAGGAAGATTGATAATCTTGTGGGGCGAATGAGATAGTTGCTGTGATATGCAACTGGTCACATGTCTGTCTAGGAGTGTTGTTCTTAGGGTGGGACTGATGGCAACGACTAATTGTAGATGTTTATTTCATAAACTTTAGAAATCTAAGGTGATGATTGTATACACTAGTTTTTAGTTTTAGTTTTTAGTTTTTAGATTTTGGTTTTAGATTTTTGTTTTTGGTTTTTGATTTTGGCTTTTTATTTTTGGTTTTCAGCTTTTGGTTTTAGTTTTTAGATTTTGATTTTGGTTTTTGGTTTTGCTGTAGTTTTTAAATTTCTTAAAAAAATAAGTAATACATTATTTTAGAATAATACAACAAAATAAGAAATAAATCATTTAAAAGCTACTATTAAAATATAATGATTATTATTTAATAATACAAAATACATTAACATGTTTTAATTATTATATATGTTAAGAAACTTATATTATGCTAAATTATAAATCATAAAGTAACTATAAACAATACAACATTTAAAATATTAAAATATGAAAATTATTTATAAAAAAATTTGTATGTAATTTAAATTATAAAATTTGAATGGAATTTTTTCTTTTTCAAATTAATATAATATATTTTATTAATAAAATTTTATGTTTTTATAATTTAAGTTATTGTTTAATAAGTAATTATTATTAAATTATTAAATAAATTTATGTGTAGAAATGAATAACCAATTTCAATTATTTAATATTATATAAATTTATTTTGACATGCAACATAAATAAATGATTAAACATTATTGCTTAAATGTTATCTTTTGTACCAAAATTTTATTAGACTTTTATCTTTATAAAGTATTATTATTTAATTATTAGCTAGTTAAAATGTACCAAATCTAATGAACATAAAACAAAATTCGTTTTTATTCCTAAAAACCAACAAAAATGAGTTTTTGGTTTCTCTTCATAAATTGATTAAAATTTTCAAAAACCAGTTTCTCTAAAATTTAGGGAATCTATTTATTAAAAATCTTGATTGGCAAAAAATTGGTTTTTACAAAAACTAAAAACAAAAACCAAAATCTTAATTGGATAAAAACTAGTTTTTGAAAAAATAAAAACCAAAACTAATTCAAAAACTACAAACAATCATCACCTAAATGATCTGTACCTGGCCGTTACGACTGTTCATAACAGAAAAACGAAGACAATAATAGTATGAGAAATTTGCTTCCCTACCAAAGAACTTTACCTTAATTTGCAAAATACCAAAGTCATAAAAATGTCAACTGTTCATGCTGCTTATTTACTCTGCTACCCTTCTCTAATTAAACCTCTCACCTGACCAATGAGAAGTACGGATAGACAACAAAATCTAAGAGAGAGAAAATGGTAGATATGCAAGATATACCATATCTTTTTTTGTCAGTGCTTCTAGCACAGTGAACAAAGAAACCAAAAGTGTTAAAAAAGAAGAAGATAATTCAATATATCAATCCAAAGTTCATCGTTTCTCTCTTTCCCCAATTAAATTTAGTTAAACTCAATCAGCGTATGGATGAAGACGATGGTTCACAAAAGCCATCATGTCGACTCTCCGAGAATTTTTCACCGTCGGAGAAGAATCCACCGGCGTCAAGGTCACTCCATACCACAAAGTACACGAAATCTATTGTGTTACTCATTCTCCAAAGGACTTGGTGACATGCATCTTATAACAACTGGTTATGTGTCTACTATCAGTGAAAAAAACAAATATGATTCGGTTTGTTTGATGAAGAATCTACTCGGAAAATACCTTTTCTTAAAAATTCCGCCAAAGCCAAGCCAAATCGAGGAAACCTACAACGTCTGTGTTTGGATGGATAATTACATTTATTACCAGTTCGCAAAACTGTTAACCGTAAACTTTATTTAATAGATAGTCAGAAAAATTATTATACTATAACAATAAATTTCGAATAACTAAAAGTTAAATTTCTCATTACCATTAACAAGCTACCAAACAAGTTACACATCCAACTACAAAATTAGCAAGAAATCTTATATCATAGACTGTTGGAATAAGGGCTTCGGTTTATGGTTAAAATTATTGAACGTAGGGATATGATAATTTATAGCTAATATATTAGTTAGATGTTCATTAAATGTGTTAACCATCCAAAAAATGTGGTAACCATCCACTAGGAAAACTGAACATCTGATAATTGATTTGTACAATTTAGATTAGCCGGTTACAAAACATCGGATACATAAACTTATTAGATTAACCCGTTAAAATACATCAAATACGGTAACTTATTAAATTAGCTGGTTATTTTTGTAAATACTCTACATCTAATTATTGTTGGCGGGCCCTATTGCTTGGACCATGTTATTAACATGTGCTTGTATTCTAACTTGTATAACCATATATTTGATTAAATTGCAGATATTTATTTTAATTGGCTAGCTAAAGAATGAAAACCAGTACACAACCAAATTTTCAAAACAGTTGCCTGGCTAATATATATTGTACATCCTGCACCAAAACTATTGTTCGGCTAATTTTTTTTTACACATATATCTAACAATTTCAAAATAACAAAAAATAAATATTTTTCTTGTGGTTTATTGTTTCAGAGTGTTTAACATGCCAAGTTTTTGAATGATAAATCTTGCTCATTGATTAACACAAAGATTTAAAAGAAGGAGAGAAACATATCAAAAGCTCCACATTTTTTTTATAGCCAATGTAAACGAAATCTCATTCTTATCTTGCCAAATCTAGTGATGATTTTGTGTCAGACACAACTACCCGAAGTTCAAAACCGGGAAGGTGAGAAGTCCAGCAAACAGGGTATTTTCGTCTTTCTATCACCTTTTCATGTGTCAGGTAGACAACTGCTTTTGTCTCTTTGGTATTCTGCTAATATTGCAATCTTTCATGGTTTTCCAGCTAAATTGCTCTAATAGTATTCTGCAATGACTTTATAGCTCTATGAATAAAAACCATTTTGGAGTATAAATTCAAAATTTCTAAAATTAAATTCGGATCCTATAAAAGCCAATCCGAACTTCTCAAATCCAAGGACCGGACGGCCTAATAATAATCGACGGCAACCCTCCAATTATAAGGGTCCTTATCCCTCGGCAATTATTCGAGTAAGATGGCTTGCAAAACGATTTTGTGCTCTGTTTTCGTATCGGAATTCCGGCGGCGCAAACAGATGCTTCTTCTTCTTCTTCTTCCCTCCGTAGTCTGTTCCCGTCGCCCATGGTTTGTTCCCCGCGCCACAGAGTCGTCTAAGCTTCAACAATTTTGCCCCTGTTCCTGAACGTCTCCCTCGTCTCAATTGCACTCTCAACAACGATCAATCCGAGCAAGGTCCGCCTCAAGAAGCTGTTCTCAAGGCCATTTCAGGTGATTGCCGAGAATTGGATCGAAATTTTTAGATTATATAGGGTTAATGATTAATCTTCGTGAAGCTGATTATTGATTTCATTTTTTAAAATGGTTGATGGGATGATGCAGAAGTGTCAAAGACGGATGGGAGAGTTGGGGAAACTACTAATGTGATGTTTCCAGTGTTCGAAAACGCAGGCGCCTAGCCGACTACTCGTCCGACTAGGCGCTAGACGTGAGTCAACCGCGGAGATTTTACCCAACTCGGCTCAATTAATCGGGAAACCGTGGAATTGATAAAAAAAACCCGACTAGGCGCTTAAAAATTGGATTTATACCGATTTATACCGCATAATAATTAAACTTAGTGACAAATATTGGGCCCTAAATAAAAGGCCTATTTGTCTGAATTTTACTGAGATTTCGTCATGTATTTATAACTAAAGTCAAGACCCCTTTTCAGCATTGTTAACCGATGTGGGACAAAACTGAGTGTTTATTTTTTTTTTGGCATAACGCATTGATTAAAAATACGAAAAAGATCTGCATCACAGGTGATTCGAACCCTCTAACCTCCTAAAATAACTTGTGAGTATCTAACCACTGGACTACAATGCCTCAACGTTAACTTATCACATATATTTAAATATATAATCATGTATTAAAAATTTTATTCATATTTGTTACATAAATATATTATAAATATATTAAATCTTATTATAAATTAGGCCCCGATTAATCCCCGATTAAACTCCGATTTTTCGATAACTCGCTAGGCCCGGGATCGCCGCCCGACTAGCGCCTAGCGTAGTTTCGAACATTGGATGTTTCTAATGTGATCATCGGTGGCACTGTTACTGATGATTCTGCTCAACACTGGCTCCAACTTGACCAAAAGGTATTTCTCTCTCCCTCTTTTCTAATACAGTATAATATGTGCTGGTGTAAGATTTAAATTAAACAATATGTTTTCTTTTTTAACGTTTGCCAGGTCAACACATACCCGACAGATAAGAGGGTTTACTGCTATCGGTCGGGACTGGTGGTGATGATTTTGTCCATGCTATGGTTGTTGCTGTTGAGTCTGTTATTCAACGTTAAATTCCTTTGGTATTTTTTTTTTTTGCATTTTCCTCTTTAATTGTACACCTCATCAAAGCTTCTAATTATCAATCTGCTAGCTCAATTTGAATTGATATTTCTCTCTAGAAGTCATGGTGTAAATGTTTTGCATAAGAACATCTCCAACCCTATTAATACATTCGGACTTCTCAGTGTTACGCCAATTCTTTTTTTCTTTCTCGCGTGTTCACTTCGTTAACGTATAGAAAACATCAAGCTTTGTAACCACTGCTTCTTTAGTACGTGAAATCAATAATATTGGGGATGGGATTATTTTGTGAGGGTTGTGCGTTGTGCCGAGACCTCATGGTACGGGTGAGTTATTAGACTACAAGATCAAATTCTTAAGGAAGATATAATTAGTATTGTTTTTTTTCTTTTATCATCATTTTTCTAAAGTCATTTCCGAGATATTGAACGTGATATGTGCAATTGATGTGGTTAATGGTTCCAAAATTTCTAATTATTAGAAGCAGAGATGCTATATATTACCTTGTGTTTTTATTTTGATTGGCTTCAACTATACAAGTGAAAACTGTACGTACACTGCTCTGCTTACTTTTGTTATCTTGCTTTCGTCTATATGATTGGTCTTGTGCATTGTGCTGTAGCTTAGTTGCTAACTGTTAGTTCCTTCATATTCCATTAAAAGAATATCTTCGCATGCAATTTTATATTGCTTACTGAGAACACAAGAATCCTACTAATATCCTGTATATCTGTTTTTTTTTCTCGATCAAAGGATTGTGTAAAGCAGACATTATCAAGCAAAGGCAAATATGTGTCAGTGAATATTGGTCCTATTCGAGTCGTCTCTAGGTTTTTCCCTCTTCCCTCTCTTTCTCTCTCACACACACATATTATGCAAAGCAATATGAGTAAATACTAAATAGGCACAAGTAGCATATACATTCAAACACAAACTGACAGAGAGGATGATGTAAAGTTTGGAATTGAAAACTGGTGCGATAATTAACTTTTGCGTTTGTTGGTTTGACAGGTTCAAGCTGTGTATAATGCAATGAGGAGAGACGAAAGAATGAAATATTTCTTGTAGGTTTTAACTTTTAAGGTATGGTAGAAGAATCACGGGTCTGCCCTCTTCCCTTCTTTTCCACTGCGATTATGTAAATTATGCGGTGTAAGGCCATTATTTATATTATTATTTTTGCTTAGCTACCCAACCAAGTCTTCCTTATGTCTTATGCATCTGGGGGAATTCGACATTTATTATGTAGAAGATGAACTTGGATGCAAATGAATAGTTGGATATAGGCTTATAATTGACTTTAGGTGGGATAAGTCGTTTGATTTCTCTGAAATAGAGTTGGAGGAGTTGGTTCTAAAAGATTAATGTCCAGAAAGTACTGTCTTCAATAACAAGAGAGGACCCAGACTCTTGATGGTAAAAAGAAACTCTTGTACTATAATTCAGTTTTGTTTGGATACAAAACAAAACTGAAATTCATTCATTATATTTAGAATATATAAACGATCTGATGAATCAGAAATTCTTTTCTAAGGTAGATTGAGAAGCATAGCGAGGCACAGCAAAAGCAACGTATCAGACCGGGTTTAACTTGACCCTGTTAGTCATAGTTTTACCGATTTAAGATGAAAAGTTCATATAAATTAGATGAAAAGTTGTCATAGGTTTAGTGTAAGCCATGTCCCCCTCTGCCCCGCCGTAAGTTGTCTGAGAGAAGCTCATTAGTAGTCTACTTATGATATTTCGATTAAATTTACGATGATGGAGATTATTAATTGGGTAAGGAGAAAAATAAAGTGGAAGGTGAGAAGGATGGGGTTTGCCCTGAATCTTTGATATACAAAGTAGGTTAAGTGGCACTGTTGCCCAACTAAAAGCACCTCCAAATATACTCAATAATGACACTCTCCTTCTGTATATTCTTCTATTGGGTTAGGAATTACAAACAAATTTCAAGCAACAAATGATTCTAACTTGCTTACAAATCCATAAACACGCAGGAGGCTGCAAATAAAAACCCTAAACCCAAAT